TCTCAACGTGGGAATTGAGTTAACTGAAAACCAATGTCAGAGTGTGACAATCAAAGAACCATTCATATGCTTGTTTCATGACCCACATTACGTGTTTCTCACCCGGTGGAAGGACATTTTGTGGAGTTTCACCTCAATGAGACCTGGTCTATGCAGAAAATGCAAGCTTGTTTCATGTTTGAGTCAGCGGGGAACGACAGGACCGCAGGGACCGCAGGGCGACCGCCCGTGCTGGGCGCCTTGTACTACCGGTCTTGTTGACCTTCTTGGTTCAACTCCTAAGAACCCTGAAGCTTAAATACATGAGTAACACACAACATCTATAGGAACCTATGGGGGACAGGCTAAAGATGCGAAAGGAACCATGACTTGGGGGCCGACCCACATCACCATACGGTACAGTAGTAGGTGTTTGTTCAAAAACCAGACATGCTCCGGTCATCTGTGACGGACGTCAACGGACGCAGGGTTTGATCTCACAGCGTCCTCACCCGATGTTGGGATCTCTAGTGCCAAAAGAACGGTGGTTTCGGGTGTTCATGGGTCGAAACAGCGCTAGAACTGACCACAGTTCTTGGATCCACGTACCGCGCTATACTGACCATGTACCGTACCATGGGTGTATGGGAGGAAAAGCGCTATACTGATACACAACATATTCCATTGGCTTCAGGTTCTTTTATACCTGAATCCCAGTGAACCGCTGGATGATGATCGCATCGACTTTTCGATCGGGGGCATGTGCCAATGGACAGGAGGCAAGTTAGACACCTTTCCAAACGATCGTTTGGACTCCATGTCATGATTGTCGTTTCTTAAGAAAAGATAGGTGAACAGCACCTGACCACTGCAAGGTGAATAGGTGGCACATGGTGGCACAGTGCTTCTTCCCAAATCCTGGGATGATTTGATATCTGTATTTTCAGTCGTTCTCCAATCCTGAGTTCGGTGGTGAAGTAAGAATATCCATAGAGTCTTGCGAACAAGGCCCTCTTCAAGTCTGTGGCCTCTCCGCAATGGAGTACCCAAGCCAGGATATATATGATTGTATACGGTATCCGGTATAAATGCTTCTATATAAGACCTGCCTTGGACCTCTTCCAACTTCCAGTCCTCAATGTTTGGGGCCACCGAATTAAAACAAAATAAACGACCTCTGAGCCTCAGATCACAACAAAAACAAACCAAAGCACCCCCCACACACCCTGGACCTCTGGAACCCACGTGCTCCAGGGAGCTTGGCACGTTCCAAGGCTTGCCTTCCCAGCTCCGTTTGGGCCATGGGCTCTGTCAGCTCTCGGAACGTCATGGCCACTCGAGGACCCCAAATGTCCTCCGCTCAACTCGAGACGACGACGCGAAGGACGCGAGATCGACGGGAACGAGGACGAGGAGGACGGGGAGGACGCATCGGCTCGTGACGAGCATAGGAGGGTGTTTGTTGGTGCAGCAAGGTGCTGAGATGTGCTGGGAATAGAGTCAACTTGTGCTTGAACAAGTGCCTTAGCCAAAAAGGGCATTGAATCCGGTTATATGGTAGTAATGCCGCAATGCCTTTGTTACTAATAGCAAGTGCCTTGGTAAGTTCGCAGAGATTTACGTGTTCAGTGACATGACCTTGTTGTGTTTCCGTTTTCGCGGCATCAAAGCACCATGGCACGGTCGTGGGTCAAGGTGTTGGGGCACTCCGGACAGTGCCCGACCACGAACGTCTAGACCATGTGTTGGCAGTGGGCATGGTGCTGCCAGGCACACCAGATGGGGGCTCACTCTGGCCCGAAAAAACGCGCTGGGTGGCATCGCGCTGTTGCCCGTTGAGCATGTCTGACATGTCTTGCTCAGCAGAGCGCAGATTCAAGGGACTTCGATTCAAGAGCTTGCTCTTCGGAGCAACAAAGAAAAAACAACGATTTCGGCAAGAGACCCTCGCTTCAGAGAGCGCAGGCCGCCCTGGCTAAAACCCTGGCTATTCAGCTGCGCTGACTTTCAGGCTTGGTCTCTTCATGCTTCCCTCATCTGCCACCCTTGGTGATCTTCATTGGTCATTTCTATCGTCCAGTGCCACAGCAAAGTGCAAGCCCTGTTAGACACATGGTCGTTAGAAGACCCAGTCCTCTGTCGGCTACTGGCCTCGACCATCATGTTTCATTCATGCTGCTGAGACGACAGGTGCCGCGAGCGACTCCATGCTGAGACGAAGTCGCTCGATCATTCTGAACTCTGGGTTTATCTTTGTCCTTCATCCCTGGCGCGCACCACAGAGGCTTTCCAAGACCTGTGGGGCTGATGCAATTCACCGTGCGGGAAGCCTGAGATCTATAAAGTGAATACAGCCATAGGGCAAATCCGGCCAAAAAAAAACTACTGAAGGCAGGATGACAGGATGAATGCAAAATGGCACACAACTGCACAAGACTTAGGCAACTCAGATAGAATATACACCAACTCGGCTGTCGCAAGTCATGCCAAGCCAGCCATGTCCAAGGCTCTGATCATTGGCTGCAAGCCACTGCAAGCAGTTGCTGTTGTTGCTTGTAGGTTTCTGAACGGTGTTTTGCGGGGTAACAAGCATAGTTTCCAAGCTCTGGGCCACAGGTGCTCATCAAGAAGGACATGACCATACATGACCGGAAAAGCTAAGGCAAGAAGTTGAGGATTTCGAGATTAAACACAAAGAAAGCGTTGTGATACTCTCAGCAAACGTGATCCAAGATTGTCGTTCCACTGAAACGAATTGGATTCCTATGAATCACGTGAAGGCCTCCGATGTTCATCCTAATCGCCATCATCCGCAAAGGCACATGATAGGGTGGCATCAGTATCAGTACACAGAGCGCTCCTCAGCTAGGATACCATGCTGCCAATCAACGCGCACTCGGCCGTTGATCAAGTATGCCTAGCCAGCGGTACAAGCGCAGCTGATCACAATATCCCTGGCAGGAAGGTGGAAAATGATGGAACAAAAAGACATAAAGAAGAAAAACACATTATACTGAATTGTACCTGTTTCTGTTGACAATAGATAATTCTGGCTTTCTGAGCTCTGTAGTAGGGCCCACAATGATTTGACACATCCTTCCATGGTGCTGAGAGCTGACGTTGTTCTTCAATTAAATTCTTTCTAAATAACTCTAAGACATCTCCACATCCACATCAGGATGGGAGTGTCACTGCACCCCAACCTACACCTACCGCAAACCACACAGGACAAACCACGGACAAGCAATCCTTGAGGCCAACCTCCAATCCTGAACAATAGCTGCAGCAAGGAGTGATTAAAAAGAATGGTATCACTGTTTAACAACTTCAGCAGTTGAGCATAGTGTCCTTATGACCATGTCCTTACTAAATATGAACACCTTTTGAACGATGCTCAGTTGTTTCTTCCATTCTGAGACGATTCCAAACAGGGGATATGATTCTGAGATGACGATGTCATGGCCTGCACTCAGCACCATTCCCAAATGGATTCAGCACTTGATTGCGTACTGTTGCTTGTGTCAAGCTCGACGGAGCAACATGGGGCGAAGGAAAAAGTATTAATGATGTCTCTTAGGTTGGAGGCCGTTCTTGGGTTGGAGGCCATCGCTAGTAAGTTGGAGACCATCGCTGTTAGGTTAGTAGGTTGGGGGCCATCGATAGTAGGTTGGAGGCCATTGCTTCTAGATTGAAGGCATCTCCATCTCGAGACAAAAGAACAAATGAAGCGGTGCTTGAGCCTT